GCAGAATAGAATGACGCCTCGATACGGATGAACCAAAGTTCGGGTGGGCTTCGCCAAAATGCAGGGAGCGTCAAGGCAACTCTGGTAATAGAGGTAGCGCCATCCTTAGGATCGGTAACGGTCATATCGGAGTCAGGTTTAGATATAACGCGAGGAAAAAGCGTGGACGTCAAGTGATGAACACCGGACTAAATCATAGATTTGAAAGAGTAGTGTGTTCGTCCGTAGCCACCAACTGTCAGAGGTAATTTTGTCAACAAGAAGGTTATCCAAATCAAAGTCAGGTAGAATAAAGCTAGTAGGAAGAACTTTTACTGTACCAAAGAAGCCTTACGACAGGCATTTCAAACGATCACAGCCGCTGCGTTCTCAGACCGGTTGTGTGAGCATATATGTCCGCTGCTGCGAAGCTTTGACTGCAGAACGTGTTCTTAGTCGACTGTGCAACCAATCAGGTGGAACAGCAAGATAATGGCGCTTCCGGCCTGTGTGCGACTCCAACTCCAAGTGGTGCGAGAAGGCGGCCGGAAGCAACGATAAGGCGTCAGATCATGAAACCGAAAGACCCTCTGCCACGGCAAGAAACATCTGGAGTCGTCTACAGGATCTAGTGCAGTTGCGGGCAAAGCAACTCTGTCGGAGAATATGGTAGAACAAGTATTGGAAATACTTGTGGAGGGAGAATGCGTAAAGCTGCACGAGATAAATTTTAAAATCATATCACTGCAGGTGCGATTATAATAATTCCCCATTTGTTGCAGGAACTACCGCCAGGGAGATGAGGGAGAGGAACACATTATGGTCATCAGCAGTATGTTTAAGGTCAATAAAAGGGAGGGGGACAATACAGGAAGCGAAGCACATCACGGATTTGCCGGAGATGCGACCGCATTTATCCGTTGCTCAGCGTGGAAACCACTGACAGGATGAAAAAACAAATTAATCCGTGAGATACCGGTCAGGTTCAGCGGCTGCCGCCGTCGGCGCGCTATCCAGCCTCTGGTCTTATCGACTCTGGACACTCGGGACACTTGACACTGGATAAAGGCGCGGGAGTGAATAGAGATTATAGTAGATGCAATGACCGGACTTTAGTTGAAGAAACAGTCACAAGGTAGGATTAGATATTAAGATTTGATTACACGGTGCACAGAGTGTAATTAGGAGCCAACCGCGAATTCAG